CTGAAACACTAAATGGTTTCAGACAAATAAAGAAGTTAATTAAAATTCACACTAGATATATTATCGGTTTTGTTGCTGCGGCATTGTGTTCAATTGTTCAGATATGTGTATAGTATATACCCTACGTATTATTATGTATGTTCTACTCATTGTTATCAGCATTTTCAGTTTGCGCGCATCGCTTAGACCTCTGACCCCAGTCTGTTTACCAAAATAAACCTTTTCATTTAATTATTATTTTTAGCTCTTCAGCCAGAAACCAAATTTTCAAATTCAATGCTGACTATCACGAATTAACAGATAATTTTAAGATAAGGAAATATTTGATAAGGCAATGAGCAATTCTCGCGTTTTAAAGAGAGTTTATTGTTTCTATATTTACAAGTAATGACCAAAAGTATACATTTGAAGAATATTTTCTGTCCTACAATTGTTACAAATAGTGGTGAAGAAGTGAATGCGTTTCTTTCTTTCTTTTCAAACCAGTTCCCTCTTGGTGCCTGCTTTGGACGATTGGAGTGGTGGTGTCGGGCACCCCAAAAGGCCAGGAGAAATTTTGTAGGCAAAACAATTAGACAAGCAGGCGTACAACTTGTTGCCACTTTTAAGAAACAACAGCAACAACAAAACCCATCGCTAGTCAACGGCCATGTAACGCAATTAGCAGGCACGTCAGAGCCAAAGAGTCTGCTAGATGGCCGGACTGGTGAAAAGTGAAATGGGTGTGTGTATGTGTATGTGTGTGTGTTTGTGGGTATAATTAACTATGAAAAGCGCGTTGGAAAAGCGCAAGGCGGAGCAAAATACAAATTAACATAAATTGCGTGCGAGACGGCGGCTCATTGAGTTTTCAAAAAGGAGTTACAAAGCCAGTCAAGCGGAAGTCAATCAAAATGAACTTTGACACTTCAATGGGGCCAAACACAGAGTTAAGCCAGCTGGAAAAGGGGGTAGCGGTACACAGAGAAAAATTCAAGGAGTGCTTTTTAATAACAAATAAATCAAAATACAGTCGAGTTGGGTTATCTGAACGCACAGCAGAAGCAAAAACCAGAAGGAGAGCGAACACGCTGTTGCAATTTCGGGGCGAAGTACTAGAGCTTTGATTGAAATTTTAATTAATATTTGAAATAATTTATGTAGTAGCTTTGAAAGTGTGAATAGTTTTGACCAAATTCTGTAGCGATGGAAAGGAAAAATCTAAAAAATATTATTAACTCGTACAGTTTTTGGAGCAGGAAAGAGTTTTTACACCAAGTTTCGTCAATGTGGTCCGAAAATATTCAAAAACGTCTAGACGAATTTGCTTCGTAATGCTGATTAAGAATATACTATGTATGTATGTAAAACTTCATGAGGTCGGAAATGCATTCTTCTGTTACCTAATATCCCCTTTTTAACGGGCTATAAAATATGCTATACTCGTGTATGATAAAAGTCAGCAAATGTATATTTATTGTATATATTCAACATTTTTTATTTCCTACCAACTCCATTTATCATCAACAGCGAAAAATGTTTGCTATGAGTTTTTTTTACGCCAATTTATACACTTCTTTATATAGTATATCATCCATTCTTTCAATTTATGGTTAAAATACGCTCTGTCCGTCTGTAAGAGCAATCTTGAAATCATCTTGGAAATTTAAACAACAATTTTGATAACTTTTAGTCTAGCTCTGAGAGAATATGCTGCACTGTCCCCTTTACTCTTAATGCTAAGTTTACTTTCATTTCAAATTATGACTTAACAAGTATTTGGTTTTACAAATGAAAAACGTTGATTACTTTTAGTTCGTGACTTTAAACTTGGAAAGATGTAGAAATAGCCCTTTAAATACTAAGTCCACACGGTAATTAGCCCTACCTTAAAAAACGATGCGATTCATTACGAAATTACGAAAATATTTATTAAAATCAAGCCATATTTTCTGCAAATTACTACTTACTGTATTTTTTATAATTGTTTCATGCCATTTTAATTTCTTACCTGCGCATTATCTCTGGTTATGGCTTTAAATCGCGCAATAAGATTCTTTTTTTTTAAGCCAAGCCCATATTTCCTACATTTATATTATTTAATGATTAGTTGCACGTCTTAATTAAAACAAATACTGCCGACTATTTATTGAAGATTTATAACTTGCTTGTAATTAACGTTTTAATTTAGTTTGAGTGAAGTGACTCAATTTCTTTCTTTCGCAACGCCAATCAGTTATGACTATTCAGGATTCTTGTGATGTTAATTTATGTGACCCCTTGGTATCTTAACCTGGCCTTTTTGAATCTACAAATTGCATAACTAGATGTATTTCTTAAGTACTTAGATGCTTTTGGCACAACGTCCTACAAAGCCATAGGCATTTTTCTACGCTTGCCTCACAAGTGTTGTGAACTCTTGCATAGTAATCGACGATTTCTGTAGATACTTATCAGTTTGGCTGGGGACCTACGTAGCTAGTCCCTGGACATAGTCCAAGACCAGCTGAGAAATGCTGGCACAGAACTAGGGTATATTTTTACTCCAATAAAGCTGTAATGCTGGCGTTCATAGTAATTGGGATTGTGAGAACAAAATTTTCTGGGTTTTGTCTGCAAAAAAAAGGCCTCCTTAAAACATACACGAATTTTTATCGTATTTGATGAAAAATGTACGGTTTTTGACTGTTATCTAAATTTGTGAAAAGACGAATTTCTTTAATTCTAGAAAGCTATTTTAACATGAAAAGCTTTTAAGCTAGAAAAAAATGTTTCCAACTGTGGCATTCGATTAGTTTTAAATAAATGTATTGGTCTATTGAATCGTTCCTAACTACAAGAACAAAATTTTTTGAAGTGTATTTAACAGTTTTGAGCTACCAGCAGTTCCGGCCAACTTTGCTCTCTGTACAGTGTACACACACACATAAATTTGTTCATTACTAGGCCAACGTCAGCGTTTAAAGCCATTCACACGCACCTGTCGCCGTTGCCATGACAAACGGTTAATGTTATAGTCGCGTAAGGCGGGCGACCCACAGCAGCAATCGCAGGGGCGCGATAAGTATCTCATAACTACAAAAGATTAACACGCCGGAAAAGCGCAACACACACAGCCACACACACACACAGGGGCAGAGAGAGAGAGGGACAGACAAGCGGGCCGACAGATAAAGACAGAGATGCGGCAGATAGCAGGGCGGCAAGCGGCAATGAGACAATGCCACACAGAAGCAGCAACGGCGGCAACAAACACAACACAACAACAACGTCGTCGTCGTTTTAGGTAGGCCGCTGCTGGCTTTCTGGTTAGGTAGACGGACAAGCCAACACTATGAGGTGTTGCTTGCCACAAGGATGCGGTGCAGCGCGTCTTGAGTCTCAAGTTACGGCCACAAACCGCACCCTAGGCAGCAAAGTGTCACAGCAGCCCAACAGAATATATATAGTATAAAAAAAAAACTACCACAATAATCAGGAAAATACAAACACTTTATTCGTACGTACGAGTATAACGAAAAATGATATATAAAATGTTAAGTGGCAGCCGACACTGACTGCTTGACTGCTGTGGAGGAGGGTCCGGACGGGCTGGGGCGGCATTGGGGGCAGAGGCGATGCGAGGCGGCATGTGAAATTTTAAACGCTCGTTAGCTGAATGAATTTGCGGCATTCGTTGCTATTCAACTTTAGACAATCAATTATGCGAGTGACAGAAAGCTAAAAGTTATAGAGTTGGTTGGCTCTTGGGTCTGTCTGTACACTCGCGGACATGTGATTAGGATTGATGGACCTAACTGCGAAACACAACACTTACATAACTAAATACAATGTCGCAGAAGTTCCCTGTGATAGGAAAGGTTATGTGGGAATCTAGTGTGTTGGGGCTAAACACAATCAAATCTGTTGTTAATGCCAACTACTTGGCTTAGACAAAAATGTAAAAAATTGTGTCAACTTCAACTGTCAAGATCCACTCAATTTAAGTAGCAATATAATTGCATTAACCTCTGCTAGGCCAAGTGTGCGGAAATACTATTCGATGCCGAAGTGCAATGTGGGCAGCAAATAAAAAAAAATAGTGACATTTTTTTTTTTAATAATGCTTCAAAACAGTTAACATACTTATAAGTAAATTGAAAGGGTGGCAGCTTTTGTAGGGCTATTGGGTTTATCTTTTCATTGTGAAAAATTAATGGTCGTTAATCTGGAAAAAATTGAAGCCCAAGACAACCACCCTACCAGCAAGTACAGCAACATGCGTGCCCACATAAAAGAAACTGGCTAAGGCCAGTGCTATATTTAGACTATAAAAATGATCTGATCCGGATTTCTCTCCCTCCTAGTAGCCGACAGGAGGGCTGTAGTAGCCTGATGGCATCTAATACTCGTATACCTAGTACTATTGTCAACTGTCGCCTAATGAATATAAGATAAAAGGTGTAGGAATAAAACATAAATATATAAATAAACTTTAAATCAGATTTTGTAATTTATATTCATGGGAATCGAGCGTGCAATCAGATTCTCACACTGCAACTTCTAGCTTCACTTCTGGTATAAGAAATGCCGCACGCTCGCCCTGTAAAGTTCGGTTATCACTTGCTCTCATCAAAATTATTTCTTGTATCTTTACTAAAACTAGGTTTCACTTAAAATATTAAACATCACTTAAAATCAAATTTGTAAGCTCCCAAAATGCTGGCGCTAGAGCTTAGCAAACAATTAAATCAACATTTTCTTTAAGCATTTCGAAAATTTTTAGAAAGTTCTGTTTACAATAATTTTGATTTGCTTTGCAATTCATCTTCTTCTTCTTCTGGTAATAAGAAAGCAAATATTTAAATTTCTCAATATTTTCTAAATTAACAGCAAACTTATTTTATAATAAACGATTCTACACTCCTATTTATTAATAAGGCAGTTAAGTTTCTCAGCTCTGCAGTCATTAACTAGAAACGTTTATAAAGTACTTATATAAATTAATTTCCACTGAACTTCAATAAAAACTAAATACGCACCTTGAAATTTAGTAGCTTTTTGTTTTCCAGCTGCAATTATGTATTTATTTTTGTTTTATCACATGAACATTGAAATACATACTATGTAAGCATATATTTATTTTCCAAATAATTAAAATTTTGTGTTGACTTGCACTTTTACCAAATCCAACTTTTTTCTTTCTTGTTGTGATTGTTTTTTTTTTTCTTTTAAATAAAATTGTTGCACGTGCTGACAACCCAATAAAGAATAGCTTAACCTCCTCTCTAAATGACTAACGCTGCATTGGTCATAAATCAATCAATCAATCAGTTGAATTCTCAATAGAATGCTCATGCTGTGCGATAAGTCTTTGGTCTTTAGCTTTTCAGAAAATAGCACAACAGCTGTTTAATGGAAAACAAAAAACTTAAGCAACTTAATTGGAACAAAAATAATTGTGGGTGGTTCTTGTTGTGTTGTGGGGCGGTTCGGGGTCAAGCAACCCAGGCACATGTACACTTTTTGTTTAAAATCATATTATTTATAATTCGTCATTCTTTGTTGTTCAGTTTGGCACTTTTGAGCGCAATCCTACAATTTATTTAGCATGCCACTACAAACGAACAAACAAAAAATTATTCAATTTCAAAGAAATACTATAATTATAATTAATTTTTTGCACGCCTCAGAACAATTTGTTTGGTCTTTCTTGCTATGGTTGTTGTAGTTTTATTTACAATGTTGATTATTGCCGGCACCACGCGTCGTTCAGCTCCGAGGACCCTACTTTATCACAAATGCCTCAAAACACGCGCGCAGCACAACCTCACGCGGCGAATAATCCGAAGAGACTGAGCGTGCTGACACGCTGCGCTCTCTCGCTTGAGCCAAAAATGTTGCGATGCACAGTGGGACAAGAGCGGAATTTTTATATCATTTTATTTTCTCCCAATTGATGTACAATACAATTTGAACATTTTTGGACTGTTCATAAAAAACATAGTTTTTGTGATGGCCATGTTTGGAATATACAGCAGATATCAATATTGTAAGACGCACCATCCAATGAATGTAAAAAACCCTTTTAATTTGACAACTAATGTTTGGCCTTCAATTTCAAATATGAAATGAAATAAAACACATTGTTTTACCGAATATTTATTTTATTTAAAAAATACTCTTCATCAGTTTTTACAACTAAATGGCTTGAGAGTGTGAGCTACTCCGATAAACTTATTTTATTTTATAAATTGGCAGCGCAAAGAACACACTTTTCATAAGTTTTTCGTTTCCCAATTGTTGCATTGGATTGTTCTTTGCGCCTGAAATCGGTATAGTAGTTATTGCTAAATGTTTTGTTGGATAAAAACTTCATGCAAAAATGTGTAGACTATATATGGGGTATATAATTGGCTTACTAGGCAAAAACTCACATAAAAAAGGAGTAAGGACATCTGTTGGGGCATTGTTAGTTATGTATGTACTCTCGTACATACGTAAATATACACACACATGTATGTACAAATTCATAAAGTTCTGCCAAACAATTGCCCCAACACCGATCAAATTAAATTTTATAACATATTTGAACGCAAAATGTGTGCATAATCGAACATACCAAGAAAGAGCGGGGGTGGAAGGAGAGTGAGACCGAGACCCAAAAGCCAGGGTGAGATATTATCCAGCGTTGGGTGCCAGGCAACGTTGGATGCATTTCCATTGATTCATTAGCTGGCGTCCAATTGACCAAAGAAAAAATGGGCGCGCAGCTGATGGGGCAGGGGCCACGAAACAAAATCCAAAGTGCAAAAGATTATAGAATGCGAATACGAATTCCTAGAGTTAATCCAACGTGAAACGAAATGCTGAAGTCAGAGACGAAGCGCTAGAAGCAGTGGCCGCCTCCAAAATCCAAGGCTGCATCCCATGTAGGATCCTTTCCACGTGGGCATCCGTACCTCATCAGCACATTCAGCTTATCACCCACTACACGAGACACATCCGAGAATTGAAAACGGAGGCATTAAGAGGCTTTTTTTTCGGACACGAACAAAAGACGCTACGAAGATCTTTCTGAAGGGGTTCCAACTTGCGAATAGAAAAAAGTTTCAATGAAAGTGATGTCTCCTCCGTATTTAGCCTCGTGAGAAACCGAATCCCACGTTGTCCTAGTATGCGAAGGTCATAGCAAAAATCCTAATATCCAAATCCTTTTATCCTTATCCCGAATACTATATTTTATAAATACATTTTATCCTGCCTCCCTTAAATTATCCAAAATCATCACATAATCCTCATCCACCATCACCATCAAAATAATCCTCCTTTCCTCATCCTCACCATCCTCATCCTCCTCCTTTCCATACATCCTCATACTCCAAATTCCGATTATGCATTAATATTATGCGATTATGAGTGTATGACTCCAAACATAAACGCGGGAAGAGAAGAAAATAAAAAATTTAATATTAATAATTTGTACATCGGATGTTATTTCCTTTTCAATTGTCTGTTCTTGTTTCTTTTTTTGTTATTAAGTTGTAAGTATACATATTTATTCTGTGTTTGGGTAAACTGGATGTTAGATAAATTCTAATAAATTATTTTTCAGTTTGCAGTTAATAGTTTACAGTTCTCAATTTTTTGATGCAAAGTTAATCAAGGAATGTTTAAGGGACAAAAACGTTCCTTGAATCAAGGCGGCCTTGTTGTTGGTATATGTATTGAGTCAATAATTTGGTGTGCTTTAAATTATAATTTATAAGAATCTTTCTGCATCTCTCCCTATGTTCGTAGCAATGTTGGAAAAGCAAGCACTACTGTTGTTGTTGATAATTGAATTTCGATTGTTTGCGTTTCTGTTCTTGAAATTTGCTGTCATTGATTTTTGTTTCGATTTGATTGATACGACTGCGGGGTGATGCGCTGGCGCTTGGCTGCACAAACAGTAATCGTTATTAAGCTTGCTTTTCCTAACGCGACCTGCTCGTAAGAAATATTAAAATTAATGGGTAATGCTTGTAGTGTTTAATAATTAGAGCGTGAGCGAGACCTGGAATAGGTTTGACGTCGCACCGGCGAATAGGTGGGTGTGCCACGGCGACGTGGGCGCGACGAGAACGAGCGAGAGCGCGATCTGTTCAGGGAAAGAATTGGTTAATTTTAATGATTAATAGCAGCTCAAAGTGGTCCAACACTCACCTATCGCGATAATCACGGTTTCCACCACCGCGGTCATTGTCACCGCTATCCTCACGCACGCGTATGTAGGCAACTTCGCCCTGTTTGTAAATTTACATAAAATTTATAATTGATATTCTCCAAAACAGCGCGCCCGACCTTTGATTACTTACCTCATGCGAACGGAAACGTGAGTCGTCCAATTTCTTGATGGCATACTTCATGTCCTCGTGGCGCAAGAACTCTACTACACCGGAGCCATCTTTGTAAGTGTCAGCAAAACAGACATCGCCAGCCTCCCGCATGTGATCTTTCAGATCTTGCCAAGAACCAGATGCGGGCAAACCAGTTACCATAACGCGGTACTGCGAGCGTTTGGCTGGAGGACCGCGGCCACCGCCTCCACGACCACCATCACGACTGCGGTCATTGCGGTTGCCACGGTAGCTACCTGGTCCTCCGCCGCGGGGGAATTCTACGCGCAGCCTATAGCCGTCGTAATCATAACCATCGCGTGCTTTTACTGCGTCATCAGCATCGCTGCCAAATTTAGAAAAGTTAGTTTATTTTACCCGCAATGCCTGCCCTACGGGTCTTACTCACCGCGCGTCTTCGAACTCGACAAATGCAAATGGCGGACCACGCCGATTTTTCAAGTCGACAAATGTAACTTTGCCAAATTTGTGAAAAAGATCCTGGATATCTTTAGTGCGTATATCTGGGGGCAAATTTCCAACATAAATGCGACATTCGTTGCGCGAACCCATATTTTATAATATATTTAGCAAACTTTTACGAATAAGAATAAATTTCTATAGATCTTTTTTACTGTCACGCAATTAATTTTGCTTCTCGCACACAAAGAAACTATACACATAAATGGCTGACACATACAAGTGTGACCGAACTCAATATGGGTAGAATATTTATGTAGTATCAAACGACAGATTGAATTTGTACAGCAGAATTTTCAAAATTAGCATTATTAACATCATGATACATTGTATTACGAATATATGGAACAATTTTTAATATGATTTATATGTTCTTGAACATATTGTATGTAGTTTGTCCACGTATTTGCATTTTATGCAGTATTAAAATACTACAATGGATTATAGTGTTCTTTGCGCGATAACATGAGTTAAGCAATCGCTATCGATGCATTTTCGCACAGCACTGGTCGCGGCGTCTACTAAACAACAAATTTTGCAAAGTTCTATAAAAAGTTAAAATGCATGTGTTTTTAACTGAAAGAGAAAGCATAATGCTTCTTACTGGTCGTCTCATCACGGGCTTATCAATAAAAATGTGCAATAGTTAGCTTATGAGCGCGCAATTCGGCAAAATTATCTAAATAAATACAGCCTTGAGGAAATAAACATTTTGTGTGTGGGTGGTGTTCATTTGTGTGTGGTGTCTGTCTATGTGTTTGCGTGTAGTGTGTGCAATATTTTACTGTTCGAGCGCCAAAACCTCGGTGTATTTTTTATTTTGTATTAAATTATTGAGTATAAGGGCACTAAGCCAACAACAACAATGTCCAACATACGATGCATAAATTTCTATGATTTGTGTCGCATTTGCACGGCCAGTAGCGGGGGAAGCGATCAACACATAAACATATACTCGCCAGACGGCCGCGCCAAGAACTTGAGCTACAAAATTGCAGAATGTTTGGCACTGCATGTAAGCATACCACCCATCGGCCCACTATGGTGGGGATATACCGCAATATAAAACTCACAAATCTTGAAATTTTCGACAGGTCGACGAAAGGGATCGCTTGCCCAAGGTTATATGCGCGCAATGTCTTCAAAATGTGGAACAACTATTCGAGTTCCGCAACGTGTGCAAGAACTCCCAAGCAATGCTCACCAATTGCCTGAATCTGAAGACACAGCAGAGCGACGATAAGGTGTATATAAAGGATGCCATCAGCGAGAGCGGCAAGAGCCTGAGTGTGCTGAGTAATCCTGTTCCGCAGCTGCCAGGCGTTATTTCGACCAATGGCCTAGCCACGCAATCCCAAAACGATCTCTTCAGCAGTATTATGCAGGCGGTGGGAGTACAGGTCCAGCAGCAACAGCAGCAGCAGCAACAACAACAACAACAGACCCTCGCAGCACCACAACAATACACCATTACGATGGACAACAGTATGCAGCAAGCGGCACCGGCGCAGCCTGAAGCACCAACTGCACAGATCAAGAGCGAAAAGCAGAAGTACGTCTTAGAATCATTCAATAACATTGACTAATAATGATCAATTATGTGAAAAATTAATTGTATTTCATTGCTTAGCAATGCAGTTAAATTTCGTTGTACATATATACAAATATATTTAAAAGCTGTTAATAGACTACATAAACATAGGCAATGGTCCGAAATCGCTCGGTTACTCGCTATTTTCAAATTTTCTAGAATATTTCACAAATATCTTTATAAGACAAATTATTTAGAAAAGCTCGTTATTTTAACCAGTGAAAAGTATTATTCGATTTATTTGTATTCCATATACAATTGATTATTATTGATGAGGATTTATCAGTCAATCTCTGAACTCGTGGTAGTTACCAATCACTAAAGCAATGTTTGTAATTACAGCACGCTGGAGGAGTTTATTAGACTGAAAAAGGATATCAAAATAACGCCGCTTGGAAAGAAGGACAACAGCAATTGTGCAACGACGTCTGGTGTCAAACAGCAGCCGATGCAGACCACGCACACACTAACGGCCCCAACTCTGCAGCCTCTACAGCAGCAGCAGCAACAACAACAACCACCACAACCACTGCGCACCATTTCGGCTATGCCACAGTTACAAATTCAGCCACAGCAGTTGAACGATTTGGCATTCTGGCAGCAATTCCAGCAATTGCAACAATTCACCCAATTGCAGTTTGCGCCTAACAACAATAACGCCGCAACCATTGCGGTCCAGCAAACAAGTCAGGAGGATGCAACGAGCCCGAGTGAGAGCAAGAAGCCGAAATTGAATTTCGTGCTATCATCGCCAGCGCCCCAATTCGCTGCCACTTTGCCTCAGTTCGGGGGACAGCCACAAATACAATTGCAGCTCATGCCGAGCGGTGCTGCATCACAACAACAACAACAACAGCAACAATTCAATGCCGCTGCCTTGCTGTCGAGTCTGACGGCGACGCAGGCGAACGCTGGAAACACAGGCACGACAGCCTCCAATATGTTGTCACCAAACAAATGCTTTCTGCCCATCACTATACGTGATGAGAACTCAGATCAGCAGATTGTCGCGCATATAGACACCAAAAACTTGGTCCTGCCCACGACATATCAGGTGCAAATGAAGGTAGGTACATCGAGAAATGCTCAGGCATCATCCCGTTGGGTGACTTGAAGTACGATCGGGCTTATACTAAATATCATGTATACCGATGGCATGAAAAGTATATAATTATTATCTAGAGAATTTTTTAATACATAAGGTGTTCTATTTTATTATAAGAGTAATTTATTAGAATTTTAACTAGTATCTGATTATTTAAATTAGATAATTGTGTATCCAAACCTAATTTATTGAAAATGTTGTTAATTTCACAGAAGAAATAAGGCATAATCATTGTCTTTCTGGGTGGAGAAACGTTTACTCCTTTTTGTAAAGAAGTTTAATTTGTCGTATTCATACATCACTTATCTTTTATTTTTGATCTCCATTGCAGCTACAGCCGCAATTGGCAACGGCGGATGGTCAGCCCATCATGCAGCTGACGCCGACATCAATACCCGCGACCTTGCAACTGACGCCTCAAACGTTGGGAAATGCCGCATTCCAAGGCGCTACGGCAGGCTCCACGTTGCAAACCCAATTCCTTGCACCACAACAGACACAACAATCACCCCAACAGCAGCAGCTTCAACAGCAACAGCAACAACCACAACCACAATTGTCGCTGTCAACGGCACAGGTAACGTCGCATCAAATTTTACGCTCACCGAGCTCTCAAGTGGTCATCAGAAATGTAGCGCCAGAATCAAGTCCAACCAGAACAAGCAGTAACGATAATGCGACCTTTAAAACGCCATCGCCCCCACAGCGACAACAGACACAACAACCACATCCGCAGCAACAACCGCAGAGTCGACAAAAAGCAGCAGCTTCCACCACTGGTGCAACCAACAATGTCCTGAATATAACGCCCACAACAGAGTTCACAAAGCGTTTGCTGGCACAGGCCAAACAGCAGCCTTTACCTCAAGCCAAGCAGCAGCAACCACAACAGCCACAGACGACACCAACAACAAGTGCGACTATTCAACGATTATCCTCGAGTACAACCATTACAAAGGTGGCTAAGCAACCAACAGGGTTGGAACGGAAAATACCGCTTCTCAATAAACAAAACATTACGATCAGTCGTATAACCACCCAAACAGCAGCGAGTGGCGCTGCTAAGCAAGTGGCCAGAGTGCCGACAACAGCCAACAACCAGCAGCAACCACAACAGCCACAGCAACAGCGACAACAACAACAATCGCCATCAACACAGCAACAACCCAAGCCAATAGTCAATCAACCAAAGAGCCACCCACCAAGTGGTGGTGCCAACGCCAACAACAATATCAACAAAAAGTTGGTGTGCAAACCTCCCGTCGACAACATTTCCAACAACAACAATAATAACAATACCAACAACAGCAATAAGTCTACGACGCTACAACATTGTTCACCATTTCCAATTCGAAAAGTGGGGAATGTCTCACATGAGGCTCCACAGACTGCTCAACAAAGTCCAGTTGCTGCAATTTCGGGTGCCGAAGCAGCAACGTCAACAGGCACGGGAACAACACCAACAACGCCGAACAGCACATTTCCCTGTCCCACCTGCGGTCGCGAATTCAAAAAGAAGGAACACCTCACACAACATGTGAAGTTACACGAAGGACTGCGGCCCTTCAAATGTTCGGAGGAGAACTGCAGCAAGGCATTTAGTCGTAAGGAGCATTTGTCCCGTCACCTGATCTCACACTCCGGCCAGAAAATGTTTACATGCGAGGTGTGCAAGAAACCCTTTTCGCGCAAGGATAATCTCAATAAGCATAAGCGGTAGGTGTCCTAATCTTTAAAATCCATATCAAAGAGTGTTATCTGATAAAGATAAGAATAATTTTCCTAAAAAATTATTTGCAGTTTTGATCACATTTTATTAATATTCATCCCCCAATCCGATTCATTTATTAACTAATCTGATTAATTTCCCATTGCAGGATACACACAGCGCAACCCAACGAAACGCTGTACAGTTGTTTACTTTGCAATAAAAATTTCGCCACCAAGTCGCACTACGAGAAGCATCGAGAAATGCACGAGAAATCGCAGTTGGAGCTAACGGCTGGACCGGCAGCGCCGGCAACTGCAACTGGGAACAACACGGCCAAGGTAATGCGACCTGCTTAATACTTTACTCTCAATTTGTTAATAATCCTAATTTTTTAATTTAGCAGCAACTCAATCAGTATGAAATAAAGCAGCCCCAAATGCAAATGCTGCAGACTGTCGCATCGGCGTCGCAGCAACCTCAGCAGCAGCAGCAGCAACAGCAGCAGATAATGCACGTGCAGCTGCAGCCAACGGTGGTCACCACACAGGATCTCGCGGGCAATACGATAACGATAACGCAAGCAGCCGATACAAACTTGCAGGCATCGCTGGGCAATTTTGTGCAGCTCGGCTTTCCACAATTTCAAAATGGCAGCACCACGACAAACCAAATTGTTTGCAAAATTGAAAAGTAACTAACTGTAAAGTACGAATAAGAATTTTGTATTGTCTAGTCCGATGATTTACGTATACTTCTATCCCCAGTCGTAGTAGAGATCCTTGTCCAGTGCTATTTCCCATTTTTATTATGTTCTATTTAATAGCTGGCACTGAGAAGCTGCCTTTGCGTTGTGCAAATTGTATATATTGCATTGTATATATTTGTTTTAATGTTTGTATTACCTTGTATCTCTCTAATATTGTTTAAGTGCCATAAAGTTAATTGACAAACGCAGTTTTGTATATATTTAATATTTGCTTTAATTGTAATTTAAAAATAAAAAATAGATTCAGATGTTAATTTAAAATATCTATAAAAATTCTATGGGAAATTATCTTCATACTTATTATGATGAGCCAAGAATATAGATATAATGAACATATGTTAACGTATACTCGGATAATGTATTGCAATAAAGTGATGACTGAAACGATCGACCACAACTCTGCCGCAATAGGGGCGATAATACTGCATCCGTGACCTTTAGCAACTTCTACAAGTAATATAGAATTTCCATGTGTTAAAATTAAATACAAAATAGTAAAGTGTTTGTAATTTGTTTAATGTTTTTACGAAATTAATTGCTTATTTCTAATGTTCGATTCTTGGAAAGTAATGTTTTTGAATGCATTATCGCTGGTAAAATTGCTTTCGGATTTATATTCACATTTTCTGAGCTGCAAAGATGTATGAGATTGATTATTTTAAAATATTTTCAATTTCCATGAATTGCTTGCCAAAACATATGAAGCGGAAACAAACAATATTGTATTCCACAATTTTCATGGAAAATTTGCAATTAATTAAAATACATAATTGTTTCAACATTTTTTTGTTTTGTGTCATGATGCGATTTAGACGTTTCTCATGAATTTTGTAACATAAAATATAAAATCAACTCATGCTTTTGGAAAAGAACTATGTCATTGGATTACAAAAAATACTTGTGTCGAAAACAGAGCTGTGCATATTTGTGTTTATATATAAATTGAATACTTCAAGACATTTCTAATTTTATAGAAACAATTCACGATATACAGCTCTTGTTGAATTGCATACACAATTCAATATACATAAATAATACTACCACTGGTGTTTATATTTGGACTTACACGAGAGGTCTTTAGGTGCGTTGTTTCTATTTTTAGGCTCCCTATTTTAAATGCTTTCGTTTGCATACTGGGTTTTCATAAAGGTTGATTAATAATACCATGTGATCGAAATCGTTTAATGATTTTTTACTGTACACAAAAAATGTGCAGAAATAGCTTTTTAAGAATTTTCCAAATATCTCAAAAGGCAGTCACAAATGTAAGGAAAACAAATAAATTGACATTAATTGATAATGGGAATATAAGTATGGCATTAGAAAGAAAGAAGAGATTCTTCTCTATACCACTTCCTAAGTCAAACCGCACGATATAGATCGCTCACTCACTGAAAACTCCTCGCGTAAGTCCAGTCCACGTTAAGAAAGGGCGTTTGGTTACTTAGAACTAGTCTTTGGTTTTTTTTTTGTTTAGGAGCTGGAAGCGTCGTCGGCAGAAGCGGCAGCAGCGGCGGAAGTGACGGTTAAAAATAGTGTAGCATACAGCGCAGGCGCAACTTGAAGAGCTGCAACTAAATTTTTGGTAACGTGGTAAGTTGGTGCTGGAAATTCAATTGGAACTACGTGCATTGCTAACTACAAGTACTTACAATTAAATGAAATCATTAAACCGAACCAAACCAACCAAGCAAGTAACAAAACAGCAAGCGCTATTCTCAAAAAGCAATAATAATATATATGTACGAGTATATAGAATGAGAAACGATTGGAGAGAGAAAAGGGGGAAGAGGCTAACCTCGACTTTATTCATAGAGCAATGTTAGCTCAGTGACCTTGTCCACATTGCCCCACACTTGCAACGCCTGAATATGTTGGAGCGGAACCTGAACATCGTAGGATGAGAGTATGTTAACACCATCATCCTGTATGTTATAGGCATGTATTTGATTCGTCTCATAATTCAGTGAAAACTCTAACGCAAAAGCTGTTGCTGTGGAAGAAAAGGGCGGAGCATCATCAGCATTGAAGCTCTGTGTTTGATTTTTATGTTTTTTATGGTTTATGCTCGCAAGCTCAGACCGACCATCAAAAGCCGACAGCTCCTTCTCCTGATAGTCCTGCCACTCGCCATTCTCTTTATAATCTTCGATCAGAACTTGAGGATACGTGCTGACGATCTCCTTGAAATGGTACGCTATATTCTGTTGTGCAATGCATGTCCTGTCGTTCACAAAGTTCACCGAAAATCTGCAAGTAGAGTGGAAAAGAAGAAAGAATGAATTATTGATAAACAGCTTGACGACTAATTTTAGTTCTACACATGTTCATGACGTCAACAAATGTATTTGTTTGCCGGCAGCAGGTGTTAATCAATGGCCCTCTTTTTTTGCATGACCCGCGTTCAAAGTGCTTAGTCATTGTCCAACCACAACAACAATAAAAACATTAGCCGTCTTGGCACATGGTGGTCAGGCAAGCTTGCATGAAAACGTGCGCGCCAGCCCATTGATCGGCTTAGCTTAACCACCTTTCGGCGGTTCTAACCGGTTCTTCGTCATTTTTCGTCTATATGGTCTATTCAGCAGGAACTCAAAGGGTGATTCATAGTTCAAGTATTTCAAGCAGTTTGTATGCGACGCGTGCCTTTTGCGTAATTTCCTCTGTGCAATGGCAATAAAAGCTGTATTCTACCATTTCGCTATCAACTTTTGAGTGGGTGCTAAGTGTATAGAAATTTAGAAATTCCCCTGAACTTGTAAATCACTTTGTATACCTTAAAAAGATTCACATTTCTTTGAACATACGGAAACGTTTTGCAAATTATAAGAGTTTCTAAACAAAATTAATACTAAAATTTGTTCTTTTGTATACATCTGCCATGAACTTTTATTGAATGATCAAGATTAATAAGATTTATTACACATATGTACATGCATAAGTGTATTGCCATTAAGCCGTTTCTTGGTAGTGGCGAGAATTCGCAGAAACCCGCTTTAAAATGTTCCTTTACATAAGTATTAATATCTGGACATTTCCACAGAAATGTCAACCGCAGCCAACAAATTCAAAGTCTGTAAAAGTATGATGTTTTGACATATTTGTATAGAGAATCTATCAAATTTAACTAATGTAATCAAATTTTACATTTATTCTTGACATATTTCGAAAAATTCAAAGGTAGCTACAAACACCGTTTTTTATTACAAATAAAAAATTTGGCCGGAAAATAACCAGCGCTTCGCTCTTGGTACATTTTTAAAGTATGTCGCGTGCGACATAAACTGAAAAACTAACACTTCCGCAAAATCCACCTTAGCACCAATAATAGAGCTAGTCAAGAGCTATAACTTTCTCCTTTTGGGAAAACAAAATTATTTTTTGGCATGTTTTTTTTTTTCACTTTGAATGCGTACGAATGTCGCGTTCGACATTAGAGAAATGCCCAACTGTTGAAAGTAAATTAAATATCCTTAAACTGAATAATGATCGAAAACTTTGAGAATAATTATAACTGCCGCAAATTCACCACAAAAAAAAAACAATATTAAAAGCGTTTTTTGTTTGATTTTTCGCTTGCAACTTAAGAACTTTTAGTACAAATAGGGAAATTATTACATTTTATATAAAAGATCTAGACGTACTCGAAATCGAATTTAGAATAAATAAATAAACAAAAAGTGTTATTACTCCATGGTTATGGGTACACAGGGTACCCTGTGGTTGTGCTATTTTATCTTTCAGTAGAAATCATTTTTTCCTTATCATATCGTTTTTATGAAGGCATGATCGGCCACGGCATAGATATCTACAAATTTAAATGAAATAGTTGTAGGAGGAGAGGGACGAGTAGTGATTGAAACAAATAAATGAAGGATGGATAGACCAAATGGATTGAATTCTTCTTGTCGTGCTGATCTTATACTATGTACCTTTCTTTGCGATTCTTTATGGGAAGTTAGGCAGCATAAATATTATATACTTACACTGTTCAGTTAAAAATTTGAACAGAAATCCATTTATAACAGAAACCAAATATTTCCCCGCTTTATCGATCCATCAATTCTTTCGAAAATACTCATCCGAAAATTATTTAATTATACCCTGTACCCAAAGGGTATACTAGTTTTGTGCGAATGTATGTAACAGGCAGAAGGAGGCGTGGCAGACCCCACAAAGTATATATATTCTTGATCAGGGTGACAAGCCGAGTCGATATAGCCATGTCCGTCTGTCCGTCTGTATGAGCGCAAGGATCTCAGAAGGTACAAGAGCTAGAATTACCAAACTTGGTATCCAGGTTCCCCCAAGACCTAGGCAGGTCAAGTTTGTTTTTTTATTCCGATATACTCTCCACTCCCCCGCTATTAGTGATTTACGTAACTCCCGTAGTTCTTGGAATTTCGAATTCAAATTTGGTAATTACATCCAGCTAGGGATTATGTGTCCGTATTTCCGTATTTCATCATGATAGGTCAATTCTGAAGAAAGTTATATCCATAAATAAAATCGTTGCTCATGCTCTGCTTGCAGCGCTGCCCGCATCTGTTGTTGTTGTTGCTGCTTTGGTTCAACTTTGTGCTGCATATAGTACATACACGCATATAAATACACATAGACACGTGATGTAAATGTAAAACTGTACATAAACATGTCTTCTATGTATGTATTAAATACATTTTCTTAATTAATTTAATAAATTAATTTAATTTTTTTTAAATAATTTAATTTTTTTTAATATATATTTTTTTTAATTTTTACTTTTTTGTGGAGAGTACAGGCTATTTTACTGTCGGGCTTGCTCGACTGTAGCGTTCTATCTTGTTTTCTTTTTGGTGGGAGGTACAGGGTATTTAAGAGCTTGCTCGACTTTAGCATTCTTTTCTTGTTTTAAGCTTCTTACGCAGTACCTGTCTTCGTGCTATCGCAACTTTCCCGATCCATTAGAGACAATAAGAATAAAAATAACCTAAAAACAAGCAAATTACCATTGCAATTCAAGCGAAAGACAAAAAATAACTTGCAAAATTAAATATTAGTACTTCCCCCAAGTTATTTGTATTTATTAAAAGTGGCACAAAAATATACAGCGGGTTCCGATAATGCTAAACGTCAAGATATACAGTCTAGATAAGATAAAGGTCAGGAGGATTTTTTGAATTTCCGTCAAAGATTGTGTTCCAAAACAAGGCGCCAAAATAAGTTGGAGGGAAAAGACATACTTAAGTATATATATTCACATTATAGGTCTGATCTGGCCGCTTTCTCTTTCTGAGAGAGACAGTAGTTTACTAGATATAGCCTGTTGGGCGATCATAATTATATCTATGCATGTATATATAGTTGTCTCAATACAAGGTCTGTAAAAACTAAAAATACTTAATGGAAAAGGTATTTATAGATAGATTGCAAGGCTATTTTAAAATGGCTGTAATACCTGATATTGTTTGGGAAATTGAACATCTAAAACAAAGCGCATACGAATTACTTGTGCTCGTATATAGTGTCTTATCTTATCGTAAATTATATCAACTTAAGCGTTTGGTAATGCCCATTAAGGTGAGTCGATAGGAATTCGTCACAGAGACAACTAAATAAATATGTACATGTCTTATCCAGACTCGCAAAGAACTCGAAAGAAATGTGAACAATAAATTCTGCTTTGTCTTTTTCTTGTTTTTACCACTCAGAAGCCGGATCTCAAAAGTTTTAATGTTGTAATAACTACGACATATACATTTGTATATAATTGTTGAGTAGATTTATGCGATCGAGCAAAAGAAAGAGAACAAAATGGAATTGTAATTTATTGACATCATTTGGGCAAAAGCGTGAGATGCGCCAACAATGAATGGTCAATCAACGGAGGTTAAGGCGTTGATTGCCATCATGGGTTTTAAATGTATTTATATAGCATTCTTTTGCTTTGGTATCTTTGTCTTTGCCTTTGGTTTGCTTTCATCATCATCAACGAACGGCCTGCTGCTTTAATTTCGCGTTGATGATGTCATTGATTAGATGCTACAGAAATGCAGATATATATACAAATTTTGCGGATTGTTTTTTAATGAGCCGTGTCTGGTTTTTGAGAGTTGAAACATTTGCAAACATATTAATTGTTCAATTGGTACACAGTTATTATTAGACTTGATACACAAATGTATCTTCTGCGTTTGTTTTTTTTTTCTGCCGTCAAAAATCTATAAAACAGATTTTAGTGTGGCGATTATTGTGGTCATCTCAGTCCCCTCTGATATTTTCAGCACATGTGTAGGCCATAAATCTTTTGAGCATTTTTCATTCGATTTAGATCGTATGCAAACATTTGAGGAATTTAACGACGGCGCTAAAAACATGAAACGCCTGCACGCGATGTGTTTAGCACTTCTAAGAAGTCAGTGCTGAATTTTGTAAAGTTTTTATTTCATGGAATCGATTTTCCTCCTTATATATAGTACTATATAACTTACTGTTCAGCATTTGGGTCCAAAGTACCGTGTAATCGAATTTTAGACACCTGTCTGTTCTGTTGTGGAAGCACTGCAAAAAATTGCACATCGGGCATTTTTGTGTGATTTGTATGTAAGTTCCGGATATATTTGTTATTCGTAGAGGTGGGCGTATGTCTACAATTAGCAGTTTTAAATACACAAACATGCAAACACTTGAGATTCGCTGTTTGTTTTGGTTTTCAATTGTTGCTAACGGCTACGAATCCTGATTCTAGATACTCAGTACTTTACACGTTACCAGCTGAAGCAATACTGTTTGAGTGTAAACAAAAGCGGCAGCATTTTATCAACGCCCGTAAGATTTCATTCGATTTTTTTGCCGGCAATCACCAAAACACGACCCGCACATAATCTTAAATGTTGATAAAAATTTAACAAAATTTCTGCGTTGCCGCCGTTGGTGTCTCCGCTTCAGCGTGTGAGTCAGCACTGAGGTGCACAATAAGGAACAGTTGCCAATTTATAAACAAGCAATGCGCAGACTCGCGCTAGCTGATCGACTCACACCCAACACGCACTTGATTATACTAACAAACGCACAATATTTTTCGCTTAATATTTAAAAACATTACCTTTCTTATCTAGATTAGCTTAGTTTTAAAAGTATGGCATTGAGGCGCCTTTAAACCAGCTAATTCACCACACTTCTTATGGTTGGCCGTTGTTCAACACTGTTCGCCCAGCTGGCATTGAAAATATCGAGCTATCGCCCTATCGATTGTTTGGCATTCTGCTGACGTTTGTAGAAGTACATCTACAACAACCGAGTAGCCGACCAGTTAACAATATTTGAAGAGATAGATATTAAATAAAAATTAGTTTAAACAGCAGCAACATGGAGGCCACATATTTGGTGCTGATTCTATGTTTTATAGCCGCTCTCGGACAGACAGCGCTGGCGCTCAAAGAGGAAGACTGCGAAGGTATGTAAATATGTTCAATGGCCACGTAAGCCTTGGATTCGGGCCTATTTCTAGAAACTTGTGAAATTTCAGTTTGTATCAAGACTGTTAGACGTTTTGCGGACACGCTCGACGATGCAACCAAAAAGGACTACAAACTAATTGAGACGGAGTTTAAGAAGTTTTGCAAAATACAAAAGAATAAGGAGCACAGATTTGTAAGTGTCGCGGCTTCAAGGGCAATTAGCCGGCAAACAGGTTGTTATACACACCACATACGCCTCTAATTTTTTTCAGTGTTACTACCTCGGTGGCTTGGAGGAGTCAGCGACAGGCATACTGAATGAACTTTCAAAACCATTGAGTTGGTCGATGCCGGCAGACAAGGTTTGCGAGAAATTGAAGAAGAAAGATGCGCAGATTTGTGACTTGCGTTATGGTATTTAGCAAATAATACATATTCGAATGAATATGGTATAGCTGATGTGATTTTCTTCATTGCAGAGAAACCAATTGACTTGAAGAATGTGGATTTGAAGAAATTAAAAGTTCGTGACTTGAAAAAGATTTTAAACGATTGGGATGAAGGTTGTGATGGCTGTCTGGAGAAGACCGACTTCATACGACGTATTGAGGAGCTCAAGCCTAAATATTCTCATGGAGAACTGTAAATACGCCCACTGTCACACCCAAACTATCTCCACACACACCCACACGCATACTATTTTTTAGTTAATTTACAACTTGTATGCATTTAATTGCAACACATAGTTTTGATAGACTTTGAGGAAATAATAATAATAATATTTTTTGAAATAAAAACAAACAAACGAAAAACACACCGTAACAAAATGACCTCAAACACTTTGGAAATTTTGCTCTAGTTTAATTTATTTATGTTAATCAATTAACATTATACAAACGTACACACATTACGTACAAAATACAACAAATTGTTTATTAAAGTTTTATTTAAATGTTAAATAATTCGATTCGATTGCACTTATTGCGGCTCGCATAAATTCGGTGCCTCGGCCTATTAAATATTACAATTAACGTATTAGTTAAACATATGAGCTAATTACGAAATTAAGCAGTTTTCATTTAGCATTACCAACTAAGTAAGGTTTGGTGTTGTGTATGTGTGATGTGGACGTGAATATGATGAGTAATTCATATAAAATTATGTGTGAGTGTGTGTGTAGGTGGATTGAAGACTCAGCGACGATAGGGTTGCTTGTTGTAGCGGCCGCGCTCGTTCTCCTCGGCTAGATTTGCATATTCGCTGTAAACTACACACCAGCAGTAGGTGAGAACGGCTGTGGAGTAGAAGAAAAGGTAACGTCAATATTGAATATTAATTGAACTTAACACTAGAAGATGGATGATATAACACTATGCAAGTACACCTAATTCAGTTTTTACACGGTGGATTGGTTCCATATGCAAAAATAGGTGATTGGTTCCTTATCTCTAAACAAAATATATAGGCAATTTTTAATTTTCAAACCGTGTTATATCAAAATCGTGTAGAAAAAGACGGTGTAAAAACAGAATTAGGTGTATAACAAAAATTGAATAATTCAATTTTGGCTCCCACAAGTACGAGTAATTCTGTTTTTATACGGTCCTTTTTTAAACGACTTTGATATAACACGGTTTGAAAATTATAAATTCCATATATATTTCTTTAGAGATAAAGAACAATCACCTATTTTTGCATATGACAAATTTCTTTTTTTACACGGTTGTTTTTGAAAAAAAAGCAGAATTAGGTGTATTTACTGCCGGCCTAAAAGTATGCAATGCTTTCTTTGCATCATCTATGCTTCGTCGTGCCATAACTTTGCTGCGGAGTGCATTTTGCACACTTCTTCTCCACTCTCACTCTTCACTGCACCTGCCATAAATTTTAATTCTTGCAGGCGCCTGCCAAGCAAATCGAATGGCACTTCGCGCCTCATTTTAGTTAACGCAATGCCTGGTGCTAAGAAGTGCCTGTCAACACACAGGTAATCAACGCATGATAAATGCGTCGACAATAAAAACTCGGATGGCACGGGGCATCCGGTGCTGAAAGCCGCTTACAAGGCGTAAATGGGAATGCCACTCACCACAACAAATCAAGCCAAATATCAGCCAAAGAACTCCCGTCAGCACGAAGCCGTCGATGAAGAAGACAACGGCGGTGTATATAACCGAAATGAGCAGTCCAATCGCGATCATAATTCCGAGAACAACCCACGGCATCATCAGATAATGGTTCCGCTAAAATGGATATCAAATGGTTATCGTTGGACAAACCTCCTAATGTTATACACACCTTCATGGCTCCCGCAATCATTAGCACCGATATCAGTATGGTCATGCATAGATTAATCACAAGTATTATTTTCACAATATCATTGGGTATGAAGTCGAAAACAATCGTTTTGAAATGCACTCGTGTCGTGAATATAACAATTATGGTTATGATCGAAAGCACAATCGCCAATATTCCCGATATTATAGAGCCATTGCGCAGAGATGTGCACAGGCAGCAATTATTTAACAGCGGTTTGGCCATCTTAGAGCGACTTCTGTTTTGGTTTGTTTTCAGGAACGAGTCTCAACTGCAAAGGTAGAGGAAAGATATTCAAGGAAATACATTATTTTACATATGTATATGCATAAATATTTCTTATATAAGTACCTTAAGATAAGACCCGAATATCTCATACAAGAGTCATAAAAAAACACATACAAGTGACAAGTGAGGAATCATGTTTTCCCATTCTGACAAACAGTCAAAAAGTAGGTAAAAAACGCTGACTGACTTAGTTATTCTTCTTCAAAAGAAAATAAATAGTTTAAGCTCCACTGCAAGCTTAGTAGCATGGGAAATACTTGTAGAGTCGGTGAAGTCCTCTTAAATTCTTTTTTGGTTGAAACAGTCGCTTAAGTAACACAAGTGTTTCTGGTAAATAATGGCTGATGAGGACGATATTTAGTTCTGAATTAAACTGGTTGAAATTAATATTTGTACCAACAAAGAATGCGCGTGCTCCATCAACTTACTTTATTATATAGATGTTCGACATGTAATTTTGAAGACCTTTCTTATGCGTCTTTTCCGATTCTTCTATATTTTACAGCTTGAGTAATTCATAGTTCATTTTGTGAACTGAACATTAATCAAACAGCCCACAGTCTCTACTAGTTTGGACTATTCATAAATAATACTTGCAACCTATATCTGCTATTTGCCAAGAGATATCTTTGCCATCGCTTATGTCTGATAAGGTTTGCTGAACCTGGAATTTTAATCTGATGTTGCCATTCATTGGCTTCTATTAGTCAATCGTTTTATCTCTGTACTATCTAATCTGAAATACTTGTATAGCAGCCCATGTGCTACGCTTATTTTTAGTCTCTGGCTAAGCAAAATGTTTATGCCATCTGATAACATGTAAGCAATGTAAAGCAGAAGCTGCTCTGCAATGCCAAATTCCTCGCTGGAAATCTGGTGACGTCAACAAAATCGGGCATTAAGCAGCTGGCCAATGGTCAAAAGTGAAATGTTTATAATCGAAATTCATTTAAAAATAGAACGAGCACACAACAAAACCATAGGCAGGCCAAACTGAGCGTGAAATATATGCATAGGTAAAATTTGTGTACATATTATGGTATATATATACATACATACATATATACTCGTACTATATATTACGTATATAAAAGAACAAACGAATTTTGCAGAATTTTGCTCAGAAGGGAAGGAAAACAATCTGAAAATGTGCGTGACTAATTCATTGCGATATGGTGAGCAAAACAAGCAATAACTGAACAGTTCGATAAGCAAAACTCTCTTCAGATTTCAATTGTTTTAATAATTAATCAGCATACAGCTTATTCGAGAAATATCGGAACTGTAAGCATAAAAGAAACAAGAGTCAGATTCCTTAAGCTCGGGGAGATTCAAAAACTTGGTACAATGCGAATGGTCTGGGGATTATATATAGTAATTGTAATTATTTAATATGATCTAAAAAGCACAAGTTTAAAAAGTTTCCAGACTTCTTAGAACGTTGTTGGTTTTAATAATAAAAAGTGCAGAAACAATTCCATAAATTGTATTGAATTTCTATTTTTCTATCTTTAACTGAAACATATGTATTATGTGTGAGTATATATCACTGGCGACCATCTATATATATAAAACAGTTTGTCCTGACTGATTGGTGATCAACGCACAACCCAAACGGTAAAAGCTAGGAAGCTGAAAGGAAGAGATTTAGGAAAATTCGAGCTCCAAAGCGGGGAAATTAGGCTCCAAAGTTTGTATGAAAAATCTGCATTTTCCAACCGATCGACTTCAAACTTAGTTTGTATACTCTCCGAATGATTTCAAGAAAAACTGCATACTTGTCAATAATATAGACGGTTTGGTTTTAAGCTTAAACGATTGGACTGAGCATCGCAGTTTTCTTCAAAAACACATTTGGCCTTACCCTTAAGTTCGGGGCAAACAACAGAACATCATTATATTTTGTTTTGCGAAAACCCTTTTTCCCTGTTTTTGCTATGGTTTTCTAACCCATTTGTATCCTAGCCTTGTCAAACCAAAAGAAGCAATGCAGTACATAGTATCTAGAAGCATATTTGTAGTGTATTCTTGAGGTTCTTTTTTTGTACTAAGTATTGTGTTTGCCGTTTTAATAGCATTTCTGTTAAAGCACCTACTATTCAGTTAGTCGTTTTACCAATCTTCAACTAAATTTGGAAAGTATTGTTTCAGCTTTCTGCCAATCCAACTCCAATTCGTAGAAAACTCCCACCCTTTCACTTTCCACAACAACAATGTATACAGGAGCTGTCATTTGCTGCACGAATTCACATTTGATATATTCGTAGCCGTTTACACATATTGCATACGAGTGGGTAATGCGAAAGCTAATTGCATTACACATGTATCTATCCATCGATCCATCCATCCATCCATCTATCTTGATCTATGAGTGTGCAACACATGCATCACCGCATGCTGCCACCGGGCATTGTCATTAAATTAATCAAACGTTTAACGTTCGATCGCAGCCGCAGCCACAGCCATAGCCAGTTCTCCAATTTCGAGTTGCAAGTTGTTCGATCCAAACTGTCCGATCGACAGTTTTATGCCACTCTGCTGGCCAACAACCATTGGCCGAGCGTCAATTGCGCTCATGTTGTTCGCACATGCAAATCCAGCCGCTGGCAGCAAATGCATCTATCAGATCATGCATACATGAATATATATGCACATATAGTATACTTGTATGTATATGGTACATGTGTGATCATGGGCGCGACGATTGGGTGAGACGTGCAGCTACTCCCCTAGAATCAGTAACTAATGACCAAGTAATTACATCTTTAGTTTTCTCTTCTCTTCTTATAAGTAGAAGAAGAAGTTATCCTTCATAGTTAAGGCGTCCTTCTTGTGTGTCTCGTAACTAATAATAATAACTAATGTCCAAGTAATTACATCTTTAGTTTACTCTTCTTATTAGTAGAAGAAGAAGTTATCCTTCATAGCACAACTGAATTCTAACAGAACTGAAAATCTGATTTGCCAAATACACACATGGACAGAATTTTTTTTTTTTTCAAAAACGCTTGCCTCATATGTTTTTTAATGTATTTTTTTAAATCAGTTAGTTTTCAAAATAAACTTAATTCAGCTACAAAACAAATTATAAACCGATTCACCAACTATTAAAAATAACTTAGCGTTTAGTTAACTCATAAAATACAAATATTTCGGCTGGACAGAATAATAGGTGTTTCAAAAAAAAACTTGTTAAAAATATTGAAATTTTGTTATTTTTGTTCCCGTATTGTACTGAATATATTTTATACCCTGAATATCGGCCATTGTTCTTATGATATTTTCGATTCCTGCAGACATATAGGTTACCAACTTCTGACAAATCTTAACATGAACAATGAGTTGAACAATGAATTGATAATCCTTATTTCCCTTCACCCCCTTGATAACAGAATCTGGCTACTACGTCCCTTGCAGCAAAAAGGCTTATAAATGACTGTTGAGTGTTCGAAGCTAAAGGCCAGTCGACCACTGATGAGATAATCTCTGGTCAAATGGATGAGTGTCCCCCGGTTTTAAAATAATTTAGTATTTGCCAGATACTTGGTGGAATGGGATTCGACATTAAAACAAAGACACATTTCCGCTGCGTTTGTTTCGTCAAATTCAAAACAGAAAAGGTGAGGGAAATAAAAAAGATGCGAAATGTAAACAGCAAGAAAAAAGCAGAAGAGGCGTAAAATCAAGCACAGTTGCGAAGAATCTTAAAGCAACGGCAGAAACCAAAATGCTAAACAAATTACGCAATTAAAAGGCCAGTCCAAGACTGAGGCGCTCGAGAAGATCACTCGACGCTATCTTTGTTGTTATTGTTGTCAGTGTTGTTGTTGTTGTTGTCGTCATCAACAAGTTAAAATGTACACAAAATGGCAGAATAAATAGTTTTTATCGTCTCGAACGCATGTGAGTTCAGTGAGAGGGACTGGCAAAGGGGTGGGGGGAAGGGCAACAACTAGGTATGATCAGCGATGGAATGGAACGGGGGGGGGGGGGGGAGGGGAGGTGTAATTTGGACACACAGCGCGCTGTAAACGCGTCAACATGTGGTGCTGTTTGTGCGCGATTTCAGCGCGTTTATTAACGCCTCAGCCACAAATGACGCACAACAATGATTGTGTAAATAATGGAAATTGTTGAAATCGGTGGGAAAATCATACATCATCGGTTTGGGTCGCACACGCAGCTAGCATTGTTGCTGTTGCTGTTGTTATTGCTGGTGATCTTTCTGTTTTTATGAGGTTTCCTCAGCTGCAGACTGCAGTTACTAAGTGGTTAGTCGTTTGACTCTTGACTGCATTCGATTGGTTTGGCGGCTCGCCCCATTGACATGCGATAGCACGATCTGACCCGCTTAGCTGACATGAAAGTTGTGCAAAAGTTGTGTGTGCGTGTGCGTGAGTGTGCGTGAGTCTGTGTGTTGTTTGTTTTTTCTCATCTCAGCGCCACTTGAAATATTTTCCCATTAAAAAGATGCTGCGCAATATCAGATCGAATCAATTCCAATTGAAAAGCGCTTAATACACTGGAAAAATGTGGGGCGCTCTGATCAAGGGAAATACTGATGTTAATTAAATGCATCAATATGATTTATTATACGACATTTCAATAAGCAGCACTCGTTCAGTATCGTAAATGAATGCAACATTTAAAATTCTAAATTTTGTAAGCGAAAATTTGAGATTACAGTTAAATGACAAACAGTTTTTTTCTTGCCGGTTGGGATTCGCAGTTACAAGCTATAGAAAATTGATTCTTTCTGCTTCAATTTCCTGCCACGCTTTTTGCATCTGATTTATTACATATTATTATATTTTATATAATTTTATATTTGTTCATCAATAAGTTTTTGAACTCTGATCAGATTGCAATATATAAAATTTTCATCACTGCCTAATGTCACATACAAACATGATCGATTATGATTGGAAATTTGTAACCCATTAGCGATTAATAACCATTAACTCTTTTTTCCCCCAGTTAGTT